CTGTAAAGGAGCTAAACCTTTTGGGCCCATTTTTTATTTACAAAACCTGCTCACACCCAACATATCAATCATCTATCTGCAAATGGTTATTGATTCAGGCAAAAAAAATCTTGAAAAGACTTTTAGCAGACTCAACTCTATTGTCATGCATAATCTTAAGGCAAATTACAACACAATTAGCAAGAAAAATCTTTACAAACATCAGCCAACGCTTTTACGTGAAAGAACAGCCAATTGGCACCATAAAAACATGTGATCATTGTGTAGGATGGAAATGAGGTGTTCCAGGAACATGAGGTGTATTACTTTCATTGTGTAGGATGGATATATTACTTTCATTGTGTAGGATGGATATATTACTTTCATTGTGTAGGATGGATATATTACTTTCATTGTGTAGGATGGATATATTACTTTCATTGTGTAGGATGGAAATGAGGTGTTCCAGGAACATGAGGTGTATTACTTTCATTGTGTAGGATGGAAATGAGGTTCATTGTGTAGGATGGATATATTACTTTCATTGTGTAGGATGGATATATTACTTTCATTGTGTAGGATGGAAATGAGGTGTTCCAGAAACATGAAAACTGCTATACCACTTGTTACAGAAATTTGAATATTTACATACATACCACTTGATTCTTTACATATTTGCTGAAACTTCAAAGGCATGTAGAAGCATTCGTTTGTTGTTCATACATTCCCCATATCAGAAAAAATGTCTCAGATTTTTTAAAAATTTGAAACATCTTCGATATGGAGAAATGTCACTGTAAATCTCATTTGAATGCCAAGATATGTGACTAGTGTCAATTAATAATGAAGTGGCTAGCAGTAAGAGGCAAGCAAGATCCATATAACAGAGTTATTGGCTGAAAACATAGTTATTGGCTGAAATCAATTCACTTGCTGAATTTAATGCCATTAACTGAAACCATTTGGAATAATTCTAATGAGCATTGTGTCTCAGATTTTGAGGAGAACATATGGATGATATTATATGGTCATACACTTGTTACAGAAATTTGAATATCTACATACATACCACTTGATTCTTTACATATTTGCTGAAACTTCAAAGGCATGTAGAAGCATTCGTTTGTTGTTCATACATTCCCCATATCAGAAAAAATGTCTCAGATTTTTTAAAAATTTGAAACATCTTCGATATGGAGAAATTTCACTGTAAATCTCATTTGAATGCCAAGATATGTGACTAGTGTCAATTAATAATGAAGTGGCTAGCAGTAAGAGGCAAGCAAGATCCATATAACAGAGTTATTGGCTGAAAACATAGTTATTGGCTGAAATCAATTCACTTGCTGAATTTAATGCCATTAACTGAAACCATTTGGAATAATTCTAATGAGCATTGTGTCTCAGATTTTGAGGAGAACATATGGATGATATTATATGGTCATACACTTGTTACAGAAATTTGAATATCTACATACATACCACTTGATTCTTTACATATTTGCTGAAATTTCAAAGGCATCAAGAAGCATTCGTTTGTTGTTCATACATTCCCCATTTCAGAAAATATGTATCAGGTTTTTAAAAATTTGAAACATCTTAGATATGGAGAAATTTCACTGTAAATCTCATTTGAATGCCAAGATATGTGACTAGTGTCAATTAATAATGAAGTGGCTAGCAGTAAGAGGCAAGCAAGATCCATATAACAGAGTTATTGGCTGAAAACATAGTTATTGGCTGAAATCAATTCACTTGCTGAATTTAATGCCATTAACTGAAACCATTTGGAATAATTCTAATGAGCATTGTGTCTCAGATTTTGAGGAGAACATATGGATGATATTATATGGTCATACACTTGTTACAGAAATTTGAATATCTACATACATACCACTTGATTCTTTACATATTTGCTGAAATTTCAAAGGCATCTAGAAGCATTCGTTTGTTGTTCATACATTCCCCATATCAGAAAAAATGTCTCAGGTTTTTAAAAATTTGAAACATCTTAGATATGGAGAAATTTCACTGTAAATCTCATTTGAATGCCAAGATGTGTGACTAGTGTCAATTAATAATGAAGTGGCTAGCAGTAAGAGGCAAGCAAGATCCATATAACAGAGTTATTGGCTGAAAACATAGTTATTGGCTGAAAACAATTCACTTGCTGAATTTAATGCCATTCACTGAAACCATTTGGAATAATTCTATTGAGCATTGTGTCTCAGATTTTGAGGAGAACATATGGATGATATTATATGGTCATACACTTGTTACAGAAATTTGAATATCTACATACATACCACTTGATTCTTTACATATTTGCTGAAATTTCAAAGGCATCTAGAAGCATTCGTTTGTTGTTCATACATTCCCCATATCAGAAAAATTGTCTCAGGTTTTTAAAAATTTGAAACATCTTCGATATGGAGAAATGTTCTGGCAATTGCTTCTCTAATGATATTTTGCCTGGTGATATGAGTAATCTTACTATTTTCATATTTCAGAAGCAATAGTTTTTTGACTAATCATATGTATAGACGACTAAGCAATAATTTGATGTTACCATATGTCATGCTTGCAATGTGATATGCATAATCCATAATGTCAAGGTCATATGCATAATCTGATTTGAACCAACAGAAATCGGGTAGAGATGAAGAAAAGAATGGCCGAATTGTAGCATGTAATAAAGATACTCCTTTCCCAAATCCATATTGTAGCATTCAATAGAGATGCAACGGATAATGTAAACAATTTTTTTGTAAGACGTTTCCCAGTAATGGAAGTTCTTTGTGAGACAGATGCCAAATCAAGAGAAGTTTTAGAAGAATATGTTAACTACCAAACAATCACTCGCAAAACTCAGAGATCCGAAGCAATAGAAGCAGGTACATGTAGAAGAACCAAAAAAAATTCATCGATCCATAAAACTCACGAATCCAGATCTTACCGGAGAGGGAAAAAGAACGAGAAATCGAGCCCTAATGATGCTTTCGTTCGGAGAGGGAGGAAGCGAGGGGAGAGCGCGAGGGAGATCACCAAGGGCAAAAGAAGGAATTGCAGCCCTAACGCCAACAGCCAACGCCGAACGCAGGAGGCGCCCCGCGATCCGCATAATGAAGAAAAACCGAACCGCGGGACGCAGCGTTCAGAACGCCGCCGAACGAACGCTCGAAACAAACGGGTAGGCGGCGTTCTGAAAACGCCACCGTCGATGAAAAAGCTGTGCCAAACAGGGCCTGAATAAGCACAAGGATTGTTGGTTTGAACGGGTGAAGATGATAGATGTTTAAAGATCCATAAGTTGCAACCCTCAGAGTTCGAAAAACTTTTAGTATTTTAAAATCATTTCTACTGCTTTCAATGTGTTTAATTCCAACAATCAAACTTAAGAAGATGATATCCCAAAATTAAACACATCAAAAGCAGTAGAAACAATTTTAAAATACTTAAATAATCTAAAAATGATAAAATAATCTATGGATGTCTTACGCTGCATCATTACAGCTAGGGTAATTGAATAATATGCATTTATAAAAAAGAAACTTTTAAAGATTTTTTTTCACAATATATATATATATAAAAAACTAAATCAGAGCAATAAAAAAGAAATCTCAATTTAGCTTACCCTTATCAACAATTGAATGACATCATTCGTTGTGGAGACATACTCCTTCTTTAAACAATCAACATAGATTCCAGTTTTGACATCCTCTCTTATCTGCAATAAGTTCATAACATTTCACAGGAGCCGCAGAAAAAAGCTATTTTGCACTCAAAAAGGCATTTCTTCCAAACGTAAATATTAACCTGCAGATTCTTGTGTGTCGGCTCCAACAAGTCGGTTATTTGCTCGTTGTAAATCTAAAATGTGAATAACTTATTAAATAGAGCAAAAAATTTATCATAAAACAATGGTACATATGCTTTTAAACGCAGGTATAGCTCCCCTTACTTCTAGAAAGGAACAGTGGCATTGGAAATGTAGTTGCTTATCTGAATGCTTTGTCTGTTCCTGAAAAGATGGAATGGGGAATCTCATCACCAGAAGTCTAGAACCAGCTAAATCTCAAAAGAAAGGAAAGAAAAAAGCAGAATCCACCTCATTTATGCGAAAGAAGAGCTGTTCAAAAACTCGAGGAGTCAATCCCCTCTCTTGGTTCAACGTGCAATCCGCCATCAGTGAATTTGGAGCTCCCCACATGGTGTATGTCTTCCCACTTCCAGTCTTTTTCATTCATGGGTTCAAAATGAACAGATAAGCTCCACTAGAAAACAGTCGGATTAAAAAGCAAGCCAAAAGAATTACCCCAGAAGCTTAAATTTACCTGCCCATAAGCAAATATAGAGCTATTGAAGCCGGCCAAGCAATTCTCCACTAAGGGAAGCCCAACTAGTTCGAATATATCATGCTGATAATTAAAATGAAAAAAATATATATAATGAATTTCTACTACAAGGAGAATATCGGCGTTACCCTAAATCGGAGCATAGAAACCTTACCTGAGTCGACACTTCATCAGCCACTGAATCAAAAGTGAAGTTGTGGTCCATAACTGAAATGGAAATGGGGGAAGTCTTTTGCACGATGCGAACCCCCTCTTCTTCCCTGCTAAGCGGTCTCATGCGCACTATGACCTAACATACAAACCAAATATCCCGACGAAATAACAAAGTTTTCAAAAATATCTACAATGATATCCTAATCTAGGGCAAAATTTTCGAGGAAACGGATACCTGCACGCCGCAATCTGTACACCCGTATTCAGTTAGGGTTTCCAAGCTCAGCTTCCGCTTAGGACGATTTGAGGAAGGAGGAGGCCTAGGGGGAAGCGGACTCCGGTTTTGAGGTGCGGGAGACTTCCCGGACGTCGTCGGCGACTTGAAATGAGCGGATTCCGGCGGCATGGTGTTAGGATCGATGTTTTCCTTCGGGAAGCTGGGCGTTCTCTGCTTATGAGAGGATCGGGTTAGGGCTTCATAAGGTGAAACGCTCCCAATGCGCCTGGGGAAGATGGACTTCATGGACGATGGATGGTTTCTCCTCTCCGGCGAAGAGAGCCAGCACTGAGCAGTGACGAAATAGCCGTTGCATTAAAGGAACCGATTTTTCAAATGGGGATCTGTAACGACTCTGAATAATTTAAACGTCGGCTTTTGTATATTTTAATAGAATATACATCATTAATTTTTTTAATAATAATTATGATATTTTATTATTATTATTACTATTATTATATTAATACAGTGGATCTAAAAGTGTTAATCTTCTTATTTATTGTAATAGATTATTGATGCATAAAACTCGCGACAGTAGAATAATGAATTATGATCTTGATATTGTATCAGAATTCAACACACTCAAATTAAAAAAAGGAACCAATATTAACATCAAAAGTTATTACATAGAAAATTCGTAAAGTGAAAAAATCACGAGGTGTAGCTCAACTGAAAAATTCACTATAAACTAGATATTATATGCACAGTCTCTCGTCCTCAGAGGCGGGAAATGATTAAACACTCTTCGGAGTTACAACTTTGATGCACAAATAATTTTTTTTTAATTAAAACTAATGGAATTTTTTTGATGATATGAAATATTTGGGTGATATAAATATAAATTAAGGAATTTAAGTGATTTGATTAGAATATCCTGACCCCAATTCCCTCCTAAATTTAGATAGATCCAATCATTTCTTTATTCATGTACTAGACATCAAACAAGAACATATATAATTAAAGCCTAAGGTATAGGAATCTTCAATGATAACAAAGGTATGAAAGATTTACATATATGCCATTCAATTCTTACCTTTTTATACTTCTAAAACCTAAACTTCAATTTTTACATATTTACCACCTCACCTGAAAAGTTATATTCCGGCATTTTTAAGTAAACTAGTGATATTTTTTGTAGTGACGTGAAACATTTGGGTGATATAAATAAATAAATAAAAAATTAAAGTATAGGTGTTAGATATGTAAATACGTAGGAAGTGCGTGGTAGGTATGTAAATATCCCTAAATATAAGATTAACCTTTGGTTTAGGGTAGCTTATAAGTGCGGGCGGCATTTTCAAAACGCTGTCGTACCGTTTGGTTCGCGTTTTTTGTCAGCTTATCTGGAACTGCGTTTGGGTTTTTACACGAAACACAGGCAGCAGGTCGACCCCCGCGGTCGGCCCGCAGACCGCGTTTCAGGATAAACAGCTTATCTCGAAAAGCACAAGCTGCTCCAAACGGACCCTAAATCTACTGCTCCATCCAGAGATTCTGATATATTATGCCATAAAATTGGCTAACCATGATGAAAAATTAAACTAATTTTCACACTGAACAATTTCTCATTTTGGAAATTTACATACATACCACAAGATTCTTATATATTTACATAGCCAACCCCAAAACATTCATATTTACACACATACCACTCAAGCCTTTAACATCACATAAAAAATATCATCATTACTATCTTTTTAAAAATAAAGTGCAACTTTTCATCCATAAATTCATGTCACAAAAATATTAAAAATATAAAAAACAAACTTTAGCTATAAAATATGTAAATACATAAAAATTGTGGAAAAAAATATGTACGTAGCGCTGCGTATATAATGGATGTTATATTCAAGTTATATCGACATCATATCCGCATTATATTTTCTGTAACCTCTATGTAATCTCTATATAACATACATGTAAACTACCTGAACTTACACATAAGTTTCGCGCTTCTGTTTTCACATATTTGTAAGTTATATGTAGGTTAAATGTAAGTTATATGGAGATTACAAGAAATATAACTCGAATATAGTGTTGATATAACCTTCATTATATACGCAGCTGCTGCGCATGCAATTATTTTCCAAAATTGTGAGAGGTATACATGTAAACTTCCCAAAAACTAAATGAGAACATTCCCCAAAATCAAGGAGCCAACCAATATGAAGGAAACATGGAGAGCACTACCGTATTCTATTCTATTCTTAGGCAACCTCAGCCCAACCTCCCCTTCCCCTCCCCCTTCTCCCAACAACCATGGAAACGCATCCCTCAATTTTCTCCCATTTCCTCTGCCCTCCAGCAATACCATCAACCAACTGCTCTCACTCCCTCCCCCCACCGCACCGCCTGTCTCCATGGCCGGCCAGGCGGCGCCATGGCTCCTCATCTCCCTCTCCCTCTCCCTCTCCACCATCACCGTCCACTCCCTCGGCGCCGAGGAAGGGGAAGCCCTCCTCCGATTCAAAGCCACCCTATCAATCGATCTCAATTCATGGATCCCCGGCCCCGCTCCCTGTTTCCTGAACTCCACCACCTGGGAAGGCGTCATCTGCTCCAACAGCCGCGTTTGGGGGATCCAGCTCGAGAACAGAGGCCTCGTCGGAACCCTAGATCTCCGACCTTTGATCCCCCTGCCTGCCCTCCGCACCATCAGCTTCATGGGCAATGAGCTCGGGGGTCCTCTGCCTCCTGATCTCAACCGCCTCGGCGCTCTAAAGGCTGTTTATCTGTCGGGGAACAATTTCTCCGGCGAGATTCCGGCGGATGCGTTCGCCGGTATGAGATCTCTCAAGAAGCTTTTTTTATCCAAGAATGGCTTTGACGGCCCGATTCCAGGCTCGCTTGTTAGCCTTGATAAGTTGCTGGAGCTCCGGTTAGATCATAATGAGTTCGCCGGCGGTTTGCCGGAGTTTGCTCAGCCCCGCCTCGCGGTTGTCGACGTGTCGTTCAATCGTTTGGAGGGGGCTATTCCTCATAGACTCAGCAGGATGAACCCTGCTTTTTTTCAAGGTAATCTATAAATATATAATTTTGAATTATTAAAAGGCAATTAATTAGAGAAATTTAAATGGATGATATTGAAAAAATAAATGTTTTTTAAATATATGTCATGGTCAACTTTACTTTTTTTCCTTTGTGGCAAAAATATTACATCAGAACGACTCTAATCAATGTTATCAGTCTGTCACATGTATAATTTAGGCCCAGTGTATATTAAATTATTTAATTTTTTTTTATCGTATATGTGACAGATAGTGATTGAAGCCTCATGCATTTTTACAGCAGCACTCCTAATATAATATATATATATATAGACAGATGCCATATATATATGGTTTGTGGAGCCGCTATCAATTGCCAAAGAATAAAATATTATGTTTGGACATACATATGTGTGGATGACGACGTCAATTTGACCACGATACTATGCAAAATGGTGTATTCGCATGATCGAAGTGTCAAATACATCCGGACAACAGACGTAATATTTTCTCGAGATAAGAGCTCAATGAATCAAACACGAACTCTTCCTAAAAATCTTTCTAATTAGGATTTCATATTTTTAGTATTATTTGAAGATTAGGATAATATGTAAATAAATAAAAGAAAGAAAGTAGGGAGTAGTTGTATAAATAGGTAAAATATTTAGTGCTAATTATATAAGTCCTTTAAATATAATAAACCCTAACTCTTAATATGAAACTATACTAAAATAATATTAGTAATAATTTTATTAAAATATTTTAAAAGTAATGTAAATTTTTAAGGGATTAGATTAATGAAATTATGTGGATTTACATACATATCTCCTAATCCTAGTATATTTGTATATCAAACCTTTAAATTTACAAAATTGGGTAAGTATGTAAATTCCCTAGATCGGTAATGAAGCTTTTACTGTACAATACTTATACTTAACAGGCAACCAAATGCTCTGCGGCTCCCCCCTCACCGTAACCTGCAACAGGAAAACCATACCTGCAAAACATGGAGTTTCTCCTGCCTGGCTTCTGTATCTCTCAATCACTATGGCCACCATCTTCTCCTCCCTCCTCCTCGTCCTCCTCCTCCTCCTCATCCGGAAAAACAGTAAAATCATCGGCCGCCCATTCTACACCGCAAAACAAGCCGGCGAAAACCTAGAGCAGGGTGCGGCCGCCAAGCACCGCCACCACACCACCGCAGCAAGATCGGTGGAAGGAAAGAGTACCGGCGGGAGAAAAAGCGAGTATGGGAAGCTTTCTTTCATTCAGCAAGGAGGGGAAAGATTCGACATTAACGACCTTCTCAGGGCATCGGCGGAGGTGCTCGGAAGTGGAAACTTTGGCTCGTCGTTTAAGGCGGTGCTGTCGGCCGGTCCCAGCGTCGTCGTCAAGAGGTTTAAGGAGATGAACAGATTGGGGAGAGAAGAGTTCAGCGAGCACATGAGAAGGCTGGGGAGGCTCTCACATCCTAATCTCCTTCCACTGATAGCATATCACCTCAAAAAAGAGGAGAAATTGCTCATCACTGAATTCATTCCAAATGGCAGCTTGGCTCACATGCTCCATGGTAATTTGCTATTTCTAACATTTTATTAGAAACGTTGCGGCATGTTCTAGCAATATAAATGTTTATGATGAATTGAACAGCTCTCCGATCTGCTTTGAGATTAGTATAATATTGATTATCAATCATACACTCATCTCAAAATAGATCAAAAAACTTTGAGGCCTGTCATGATCAAAACCCATTTTTTTCCCTTAACTGTTATTAGTTAAATTCTAGATTTTTAAATCCCACAATTCATAAGATTTAAAGAATTTAAAGTTTTTCCCTTCATGAATCTTAAATCCTAAAACAAATAGTCATGCGATTTATTAAAATTTTCCAGTTGTCATGCTAAATAACTTTCAAATCATAATCCTACTTGTGACCAAAAAACTACTAAGATTGTAAAAATTGAAGTTTGGGTGGTTCATATGCAAAAAATTAGTTGGTAGGCATGTGAAGACCCCCAAAATTTAATGGTTATAGATGGCATATCAACATATAACCAATGAAGAGACATGTTTTACTCGCATGAAAGACTAATGCTTGTTCCCTCCTATTTGGAGAGCAGGCAATCGTGGGTCGACTTTGCCGCCGCTTTACTGGCCAACGAGGTTGAAGGTAGTGAAAGGAGTAGCCCGCGGATTAGCGTATCTTTACGATGAGCTATCAATGCTAACCCTCCCCCACGGCCACCTCAAGTCCTCCAATGTCCTCCTCGATGAATCTTTCGATCCCCTCCTCACCGACTACGCTTTAGTCCCAGTCATGAACTTAGCCCACGCAACACAGGTCATGGTTGCCTACAAGTCCCCGGAGGTCTCCCAATCTGGCCAGCCGTCGAAGAAGAGTGATGTGTGGAGCCTTGGCATTCTAATACTTGAGATTCTTACAGGCAAATTTCCGGCGAACTTCTTGCACACCAGTGCCGGCGGCACAGATCTTTCTGCCTGGGTGAGTTCAGTGATGGAAGAGGAATGGAACAGCGAGGTTTTTGATCCTGACATGAGGGGCACTGAGAATGGTGAGAGTGAGATGCAGAAGCTGCTGAAGATAGGGTTGGACTGCTGCGAGGAGAATATAGAGAAGAGGATAGAGATGAGGGAAGCGCTTGAAAGGATTGAGGAGTTGAAGGAGAGGGAGGGTTGATTCAAACATGAGATCTTGGCATGAACTGGAGAGGCTGTTTGTGAAGTTGGAAGCTATCTCATCCTAGAGTGTTTTTTGGGTGGCATTAGATTGAATACATGTGAAAGAATAAAAGATTTTTTTTTTCAAAATTTGTTTTGCTCTTACATGAAATCTGCATACAAGATAATCTGTACTTTTTTTGTATTTGCTTTAAATTCAATTATAATATATTAACTTTTTTGTGATTTTGTGTTCTGCATCAAGCCTTTGAAGACTGAATCTCTGTTTAAGAGTTAGGGTTCTTTAACACAGGTTGTTTGACAATTGGTTGGACAAATTTACGGAAAATTTTTACGTGCGGCTGACTGCATTTCTGGACGATGGTCCGGTTGAGACCATGTTGTGCTGTGGATCGCACGCTGGCTTCTCCAGATTGTTGTCCGATCATGTGATCGCCACACGTAATAATTTCTCATGTTTGTAAACTTTTTCTTTCCATGATGATTTAGAAAAAAAATAAAGGTATAAAAAGCTAGATTGGTTGCCAGAATGTATTCTCAAACAAAGGAGATGGATTACCTGAAAGCTTTTCTTTGCCTGCTAAAATGAATAGAGTTTAAGTTCTTTTATCATTATCAAGCCAAGAAAACACAACAATTAGACATAAAAATGTGTTCTTATATGATGACTTAAAGAAATAAGTATATATGGAGGCCCGTCTGACTTTGGTTCAAATATACAACAAATGGTATAAATTTAAAAAAAAAACAAGAAAAAAACATTGCATGGATTAAAACAATCTCTAAGGGCTCAATTCAAAATGTCTATCATCGTAATGATAAAACATGGGATACAAACAAATTCAAAAGGATCATACATTAAGTTACAAATAACCACAGAAAAAAATCTCTTTGCAACCAAAATATGCTTCTTTTTACTGCCCTCACCAAAATATGAAGACTATGTTATGCCTTTTCTTTGATGCGCCATTGAGCTCTTGCTCTAACAATCTCTGATTTGTTCTCCTGTAAACGAAGCAGGTGTGTGCTTCTAAGTGTTGAATTCTCTGAATTTGTAACTTCTGTAATACTCGTCTTCATGCTCGTGAGTGACTCTAGCAACTGTGACTGTCGGCATTCTCGTCGATAATCCAACGTCATGCTTTTCAAGTGGTAGTCTTCCAGCACGTTCATCGGCACACTCTACAATAATAACTGTGAATTACACCAGCTCTAGTAGTTTGATATATATAGACATCATAAATAATCACTTATATTTTGAACATGAAAAAAAATATTTTGAACATGAAAAAAAAAATTGTGAAATTTTACCTCTAAAATCCATCCAATGTACTTCACATTGTTCACATGTTGATTGGCATCCATGTCATTCCATCTTGGCTGAATTATGGCAGATATAAATTAGAAGTTTTAGAAGGCTTGTAGTGAAAAATAAAGCAAATCAATAGTTGCACTTACAGCTAAACCTGATCTGATGTTTCCTGCTGTTTCATCATTCAGTTTGTCTATTATTTTATCACCATCAAATTCAAAGATGGCACTTCTGTCCAAGTAAAAAGGATTTACTTCTTCCCTAACCTGCTTAGGTATTTTTGAAAGTTTTCTTGTTTCTCTGTGCATTATCACCCAGTTGCTGAATTCAAAAGCTTTGTTTAGTCAACATTGCCTTCAAATAGCCTTAAACAATATTCCAAAAAAAGGAAAAAAAGGGGGTGAATTTACATACATATTACACATTTTTTATGTATTTACATATATATCTCACACCTTAATTTTGATATTTAAACGCATAACAATTTAATATTTAATATCATATCAAAAATAGCACTATTATCACTTTTTAAAACTGAAATTTACCTTTTCATTCATAGATTTAAGCGCCAAAGTGCTATTTATTTAACAATGAAAGCTAGGGGTGGGAATGTGGGTAAAAACATAAGAACTATGTGCTAAATATGTAAGTTTCTCACAAAAAAAAAAAGGGAAAAAAGAGAAGGAAAGAAAGAAGAAGATAATACCTTGTAGCTCTTGTAAGTATATTTTTAGTACTGTAATCTCTAATAACCCAATCTCTTCTCATTCCATTCTTGCCAGATGCTGCTACCCATGTATCAATCTCTACAATATCCCCCCTTATAATGAAGAAAATTACATATCTTTCCCAATATTAGTATGAAGAACTCTTGTGGATGGAATGAAAACTAATGAAGAAGAGATGAGTAGAGATGAATAGTGAGTACCAGCTACTGTATTTATCAACTTGGATGTTCACTCTGGTGACAACCCAAATGAGTTTTCTGAGGCTCATCTCATGAGTCGCACCGAAACCGTCTCCGGCTAAACCAGAGCTCATGACATGGTTTAGTGCTGTCTCCTGCAATTTAATCCTTTCACTTTGCAAACATATCCGAAATTGTCTCTTAGTTGTTCAAATTTAGTCCAAAATAATCCAATAGTGCAAAGTTTTGGATTATAGTTGAGAAACCAAGGGGCTCAATTAAATACATAATTGTTTGGCACTAAAATATCACAATACAAATAATTTAGGTATCATTGACTTTTTTTCACCATTTCAATATTTTACTTATTATATGGGGCTTTTATTAAATGAAGTGTTGTAAATATAAATATCATTGCTTGGGTGTTTGACATGAAAATACATAAGAATTGTTTCGTATATATGTAAATTTCCTTTCTAGATTTAACTGCAACTTTTTTTGCCGTTTTTAAAAATTTGCAATAAAAAATTTGCGAAAAGTGTACGAATCAAACCTGAAGGAGATTCATTAGTGTCTCCATGGTGGAAGTCTTGTCAGGGCCTATCTCATAAGACCTTATTACAAATGTCTGCCTATACACAAATCTCTCTTCAACAAATCTGCCTAACTTGAATGCATTCAAAGCCTCCTCTTCAGCCCCTCCCTTCTGCAACAAGCTCCCCGCCACCGCCGCCTTGTTCTCCCCGACCACCACGCCGTTCACCTTCCTCTCATTTGTCGCCCTCACTCGGCCACCACCTCCTATGACACTTGCTTTCACACACAACCCACCAACCTCCCTCTTCTCTCCGTTATACTCTTCATCTCTCAACCTCATGAACAGCCATCCGCAGCTGGAAGCCCTCTCTGCTGCTAAGTTCAACATCATTACTTTACATCTTCTGGCATTAAACATGAACGACAGTAACCATGGTTTAATTTCTTATACTGAGAAAAATGTTTTGAGGAAGGAGGAGGAGGAGGAGCAGCGAGAGAGAGTGTGTGTGGGGTTGAGAAGAAAAATAGGGAGGCTTTGTTTGTAGGTTATCTGCCACCTCCAACCGTTGGAAATTTCTTTATTTCTTCTTTGTTTTTGATAATATAAATGGTTTTATAATCTAACCATACATATTTAACTAGTATATTTATTGGAATGTTAGCTTATAAGGTGAAAAATCAATGCATTGCTATGTAAGTTGGTTCTTAGACACGTTTTGGCAAATTGCAAGTATCTGTAATATTTATTTTATATGCCAACTATTTCATTCGCAGTATATCAAATAAGCATCCGCAAGAATCTTGAGGAAATCCTACTGATAAATATGTACAAATGAGTACAACTAAGGAGGGCCCGCAGATGGAAGATCATGGACCCACAACGGAAGATCTAGGGCACACAGGCGGAAGATCTAGGGCTCACGGGCGTAAGACCAAAGGTCCACCGGCAGAAGACTAAGAGGCCAGGACTAAAAGGCTAAACATTAGCCACTAGAATACTTAAAGACCGTATGACCAAGTACACAAGGCAGAAGACTAAGAGATCAGGGACTGAAAGCGTACCTAGCGAATGTCGATTGAACCAAATACTAAGATCCATCTAATCGAGCAAAGGTTTCGATCTATCTCTTGTCATAATCCGACTCAAGAGAAGCACCCAACATCGCTAGTCGTCCCACGAACGACCTTGAGATTCCTCATCCAGGATCGGGGATTAGCCATCTGTCGGCGTTTAAAAAGGGGAAGTTGCTACGC